ATAGGAAATGCGTTTTTTCTAAGGTACATAAACTTTTGGGATTGACTGTATAGCCAATACATCCTTAAAAATTGAATAGAAGCAATACTGAAATTGTAGAATGAAAGAAAGAGAATGCGATTTATCAATAGAAACGGTGCATGTATCATTGTTCTACTTTCCGGACGAAAAGGAGACCTCGCGTTCCGGTGAGCACGAGATTTATTAAGGCAATAGATTTCGGTAAATTGTCCGTGTTAAATTATTTTTTAACTTTCGATACTGATATTCCTCTCGATTCATTGTCAAGTATCCGTTATCGATCACTAAATTGCTCACGCTAGTAGCCTCTTTATGGGACGAGTTAATTATAGAAGGATTCCAGGGGACTCTACTTTGTTACCCGCGATACATTCCAATTACTCGACTCGGTTATCGTTATGCTGCGCCGCATTCTGTTTATACTGCACGATCCACGATTCCATTTTTACGCGAACTTAAACACCAATCGATTGCTTGCTATCCAATTTTTGCAGATTACAGATCGATCTCTCGTAAATATCGTAATTAAAAATATAGATGAGTGAGTACTGAGTACAAATAATGACGTCGAATTTTGATTGAGTAGAAATATGGAGACGTGTGCTCCAACACTTCATTTTACAAGAAAAATTGACTGTAAACGGTTTTCTGCCGAATAATCTGAATGTATATTAAATTCTACCCATAAAAGTACTTTCCATTATGAATTTTGATTTACATTTTGTTCTTTATGTTCAGTCGAAATCATGCACAGCTGATTGTGAGTAGAAATTGGGACGATTACTTTATTACAACAGATTTATCAACAGTAATGAAAAGTTATGAAAAATAATTCAGGAACTAGTGGGTTAATTCTATTATCGATGTAACCTCTTTAAGAGAGATGAAAGAGCGTAATGCGCTTCGGCTTTCCAATATGAAACTTTGAACGTTAATCGCATATGCAAATAGCGTATGTCTGTTCATCCATAAACTTGCGAATCAAATCCAACGATGTATGCAGTCGGCCTGCCTATATATGTAGAACACGAAGACATAACTCTCATCGAATCCCGGCGAATTTCTTGCCAGACATTTGTATGAAGCATCGAGCTATCGGCGAATCCTCCTCGCCGCCACTTCGCCCGAAGGTAATTTAAAGCTTTAAACCAAAGCAATCATTAGGGAGAGCGGTGAGCATTGAACCGAGAACCAACTAACTCACAGGTTTGATTTCCGTTCTCTCCTTTCAGCGTGGCTCGTTTAGCCACAGTGGCAGAGCATCGGGAATTATCGGAAAAGTCGGAGGGGAAAAGGCAGTCGTCTCTCGATGTCTTTCTACTCGTTCGGATTCTCTCATCTCATTTCAATACACCCCCCCCCCCTTCCCAACGGTGCTTGTTACATGTAACAGTTACAACGCGATAAGTGTATTTGGTTAATTAGACAATTTTATAGAAAGATTTAGTTGAAAGGAATATACAGTATCCTCATTAATATTCGGACGCATTTCAAATCATTTTCAATATTGGACTGACTCACTCAATTTTTTTTAGATTGAACTCAGTTTGCTAGATAATATATAGAAGAAAATTGCTATTAGTTAGTCAAAATCATAAAGAAGAGAAATAAAAAGCATGATCCTTAAATTATTCATTTGGCTCACTAATGAAAATCTATAACTCGCTTTTTATAGAACTAAGTAAATTAATGCACGTTTGAAGTTTCATAAAAATCAGCTGACGTTGCTATAAACGTTTAAAAATAATTCAATATTAAAGAAATGATTCCCTTGTTGAAATGTCTCCGAATATTAATAAACTGTATACAGTTATCACTGAACGAAGGTCGATTTGTTTCGTGTACGAAACAGTTCGCAAAGCTTAAAGATAAATTCATCTGCTAATAAAATATGAATGTTTTTCAAGGCACAAGGGACGGATCACGGTTGGACTCGGTGGGTAGATAACTGAAATTAATCGAGGTAGCTCCGGGACCAGCAGCCGAGCCAGTGATCTCGAAACAAGATCCCTCAACAGTCTCGTCGCGTTCAATAAATGGTCCAGCACCTCCGTCCGTTATACATGTATGCGTCAACGTAATTGCGAGAATTCGCACGGAAAATTCTCGTGATGACCCAACCTGAAATCGCTCGAGTATCGTTAACGAACGTCTCTGCGTGGGAGATGAACCCCGCGACGCGGTGGACCGTTCGCTCTCAATTATTGTTCCTTCGTCCCCTGTTGCCCTCGCGGCCCTGCCGGCTGTGTCTTTGCACAGCACACAGGGAAATATGATTTTGAATGGGGATGCATCAGGACGATTCCGCCGGGCCGCGGATATAAGGTTGAACGGTATATACATAATATACTCCCGCATCCAGCCGACTAAGGATTGGTTGGAAGCTGGCCAGTTGGCCTCAACCCAAACCGTTATTTTATTCTTTTTGAATCCACCCTCTGTACCACCTCGTGCTCACCCTGCCGCCTTGCCACACCCACCCAACGGGACTGTGCCACCCGCGGCCCGCACCCTTCGCCCCCGTCGCATCCGTGTCCGCGAACCCCATCGCCCTTTCACACCGCGCCGCGCCAGGCATGTACCTGTGCGTGTGCACCGCGTTTCTTTCTGCCGCATGCTAAATTCGCATAAGCGAGAGGCCGACCAGGCCGTGGCGCTCTGGTCGCCTTTGAAGGCGAAAATTAAATTCCCATCGGAACTCTCTTGCACTCTGGGAGGACGATAATGCGAGGTACCGCGCGCAGTACGCCGCGATGGTATTTAGGCATCAGGAATTAGTATCGATTTACGTTTAAACGTTTAAGCTCGTTTCCGTTGTGCGTCAGCGTCAGTCCGCGTCAGCGGGAGCATGTGAAACAGATGTAAGTATCAATCTAGTCTCGATTCGTAATTTCGATTAGCGAATGACGGCCAGCCAGTCACCTGGTTCATCCGTTCGGGAAATCAGTCGTCAAACCAGAATACAGTAATTAGAACATTTAGGGGCTGCTCAGAAAGTTTCGATTTTTGATGGATGAATCAGGACACGTCTAAGTGTGTCAGAATAATTGAAAACAAATTATGTGTGTTTATTCTAAATGGTGATATTTCGGGCATCTGTAGAAAATGTTAGAATTCAATGAGATTCCGATGACACTTAATAAAGTTTGTATTACAGACTGTAGCAGAAATCGTAGTTATTAGTTTTTGAATTTCAAGTAATTTTAGAGAGAATTTTTAAGAGGTTGTTCTGAATAAAATAAGGACAAGAGAGCCCTGGAATTTATCTTAAACTAAATATTAAACCGAATTTTGTCTTGGGTCTCTGAGAAGTACGTAGAATTCCCAGGGAGTATTCAAAAT